AAACATAAGTAAAGTCACTTATAATTTACTTGTATGCTGTTTAAATATCTGTGTTAAAAGCCATAAAATCCATATACGTCTATATAAATAACACACTCTAGATCTGCTTCACTAACACTGTTATAGAGGGAACTGGACAAGGGATTTAGCTCAGAAAATAATACCAAAAGTGCATTTGTTGTGTTTCGTTTAAACTTATGAAAACAGGGAGTTTTAGGAAAAATCACTTAATGTGGTTTTATAAGATAACACAGTTAGAAAAATCCAATAGGTTCTAATTTAGAGTAGATCACCAAGCTTTTAAAAGAGAATTTATGTTGTGTAAAAACATTTTAAAGCAATGCAATCTGATTAAGATCTTGTAAGAAGAGTTTGCATCAACAAAATATTAAGCCAAACAATATTGTGATGCATTATAATCTGAAAAAGCTAAAGTGCCCTTTTGGCAACTGAACTCTGAACACCTTAGCATACACACAGTTATTTCCAGGTCATAGATGTTCATAAACACCAGTGAACGACTGATAAATAGGCTGATTATCTTGAACGCTGAGTAACAGTTTGATAAATATTATACCAGAGGGAAATCCCTGGATAATTAGGTACTGGGTGTTTTGTCACACACAGTGACGTGGAACATAGTCTAAAGGACTCAGATTACCTGATGTGTGTAGGGGAACATGAGGATCATGAGTTTCTTCAGGACATATCGGGTGTCCACCGCAAAGAAGTACTTCAGCTTGTTCACAGACATGAATCTGCTGATCTGAAAAGCAAAATTGTAAACACCAGACAATAACGGTTTTTTTTTTTACATAAATCCACTCCTTGTATTTCCATAGATCATTGACATCAGTTCATCACTTTTTGTTCTCAGATGTGTTTTCATAGCTGATAAACTAGCTATGATACAGCTAGCCGCTAACATTTAGCCTGTTATACTTTCATTGTTTTGAAACATGATTGTTTAACATGTTTCACAGCTTGAGTTTTGCTGCCCTTTAAACTGAGGTCACCTTCCAAAGGAGATGACTAATATAAAGGCAATCTACATGATTTGTCTTTTTTGATTATGAAACTTGAGGGAGAAAAGAAAGACAAATAAATTAATCAGATTTGAAAGGAAAAAACAAAAAAACTCAGATTATCCATTTTTGTAAGGACAAAATAACTGGCATGTTTCTTGGCCAGACGAGTTACATATTCACAGAAAATAAATTGTGCTCTAGGTTCTTCCATAGATCAAGATTTTTAAATCTCATTGCAAATTAAAGTCGAACAAGATCCTCTCAATTTATTTTCCAAATGACACTAAATGTTTTCTTACCAATCTGACCTGTCAAGGAATGATCAGTTGTTTAAAAAAAAAAGATTAGATTCAAATTTCTGGCTGATTAATTGGTATAAGGTAGTGTGATATTAGACAGTATTTTAACGGTGATTAAACTGTTTAATACAAAGATAATGATACCCCGGGCAATACATCCTTAATTCCTTTTTCCTTTTATTTGCTTCTATCACTCTGACATTTAAAAGTTCGGACGACATCATTTGTGTCTGGTGTTAGCCTCAGATTAGATACTACAATAGCATGAGAGCTCATGATATATCAACCAGTCTTCACTGTACTCCAAACAATCTTTTGCTACTTGCTATGACTATATATTCACTATATGCTGAGAAACCTATATGCTGGTGCATCTCAAACTACAAATCCCTCCCCATGCAATCCTTAATTTTTATTTTTTTGCGGATGGCTTAAAATAGAAGGCACCGCTAACATTACAGTATTACATACGAATTGTTGGCCTAACAAAATATGACAGATGACGAAGTTTCGATAAAACAGAACTTAATAGTCGTTAGCTCAATGTCACTTTGTTATTATTCCGCTTTATTGTCTGTATGAGTTTAATCATTGTTAGGATTGCAGGTCAACAAGGGCACGTCCACACCTAAAGGGAAATTTGGGTCGTCAGTTTTTTATTTCTTTGATTGATTAGACACCTAGGGAGGAAGCTGGATTACCAGTAGAAAACCCAGAGAAGCACAAAAGAAAACTTGCATGTTTAAGTGGCGGACTTCCTGCCATCAGGGATGATGGATCTAAATTTTGTTAATATTTTTCAGGACAGTCTAATGCCCCATTTGAGCTACCCCTCTGTAACTGATTCATGCAGAGTTTGGACCGAGCTTGGATCAGTTAACCGTGCAGAGCTAGGTTCCCTATGGCCATTTACACATCATACTAGCACAGTTCCCTCGCCACCTATCAGCGTTCCACGATACTACAGCTCTCAAGGCGAGAATTACTGAAACAAAAATGGCGGTGCCCATAAAATTTAGGAACTTATGTGCCTGGATGGCGTCCTCCGACCAAATTTCCATGACAGCCTCAGGTCACACCACGCTTTTTGATGCCATTTAATGTTAATAGGCTGAGAAGAAGTTTGTGTTGAGAACAGATGAAGAGATATGTGAATTACAAAGCTGGACATGGCGGAAAACCCGCAAAATGAGTCAGCTGACTGTGAATGAGAGATGATGCGGTCTGGTCATGCGCTCTTTAGCCCCATTTACACTACCCTTTTGAAACCGTGCTGAGTTCGTTCTGAGCACGGTAGCAGAGATAACTGTTGAGTGTAAATGGCATGCCAAACTGAACCAGACTGCGCCAGACACAACCGAACCGTTCTAAGCTGGTACTAGATCATCAGTAGGGCTCAGCGCAGGAATTAGACATCAGACCACCTAGCAACAGCAGATTGAGAATTATCCTATGAAGTCATATGTGAGCTGGGTCCTTGGAAGGCAACATGGCAGTAGGCCATATATGTATTTCCAGTTGGTACAGATCTATTGAGCAGGCAGCGCCGCCCTGCTGTCCGATCAAGCACTACCCACAAGTCACAGATCATTCTTACCAGTGTGACTTTTGTGTCAAAAGTGAAAATGAAGCCGTGACTTGTTAAGTTAAATTTGTGACTCACAGCAGCAGATGCTTGCAGTTGTATTAATTGATTTGTAATTGCGTTAAGGAAAAAAAATAAAAATTTTTTTTTGAAAAATTTAAAACACTGAATTTGTTTTACGCCAATTGTTTTAGATCAACTGTAGCAAAACTGAATGGACTACATTTTTGATGTGCACCTCAGAACACAATTCGTGTACTTGTAACTCAAGAATTTGAAAAAGTGTAACTTTTTTTGTAATTGTGACAGATTAAAAAAAATCTGCAATTACAAAACACCAAAAGTTTTGCAACAACAGCTTTGGACCAAAACTGAGAATGTAAGAGGTTTTTGATGTGCAACTTGTAGAACAGGATTTTTGTACTTTACTTTGCACTTAAAATTTGAACAGGTGTAAAACAAATTTGTGAATTTATGTAATTCACAAATTCATCATGTAATTAATGTAACTCATTCTACAACTTCAAATCCACACTTACAATGCACAAATGGTCTTGAAACAAAATAACCTTCATAAGGTACTCATAATAACTAGACAGCTCTAGATCTAATCCTACATTAGAGGACCAAAAATATATCTAACCATTTAAGTGTCAAAACTGTTTTGTTCAGAAATGTTTGTTTAGTTAAGTGGAGCTCAGTCTGTGGTAAAGCTAAGCTCTAGGTCATATGACTCATTCAGCGATGGAGCCGACCCTCTCAAGTCACAGGTTGGTTTTTGAGAAGGGCGAAACGCATTAAACATAGGAACCAAGTGCTGTAATTTGAACAAATTAAGCCAACATGTGGGTCCAAACTTACATGTTGCTGCTTAAGTGACACTTCTAATTTCTTTCACCTTTTAAAATAAAAGTTATGAAGAATCACCAGGGAGAACCTCAGGCTGCTGATCACATTAATCAGATTAATCTAAAATATCTAATTTCAGTATAATACTACCACATCTCAACATATAATCTGTAGTGAGAAGAACTAGTATCTCAAATCGTTTTTCATGCTCAGAGTAAACTTGGTTGCTAAACTTTAGAGTTCCTAATGAGCGGTTATTATATGGGTATAGGGTATCACACCGCATACCAGCATTACATTTTATTAGCTTATTAAACTACTCCAAACTATCAACGTCAGATGCATTTTTTATTGTTTTTTTTGCAACAGGATTTTATGATCCTCATGGCAAAATCATTGAGTCACTATTCCTATTCAGTCTTTTTCTTCAATATAAACAGGTAAATTAAACACAACCTTCAAAAAGCCAGAGGCTCTTACAACTTATTATAAAGTGTCATATATCACATGTGGAGAAAATATTTCAGTAGTCTTGATATTCCTCACCTCTTTGTTCACGATGTCTTTTCCTTGGTTGGCTATAGATGAGCCATACATCATGGCTGCATTGGCCATTGGGTCAGTGAACAGGTTGTTAACTGCTGAACCTCCATGCATGTCATTTGGGGGTCCTGCCATGTTATGACCAGGAGTGTAGAAGCCCTGGCTGTTCATTACCGGTGGTGCTGAGCTGGTGTCATCGAACAAGACAGAGTCTCCTGCTGGGGGAGCTGCTCGAGCCCTCGGCTTGGCTGTAAACAAATGGGTATGACACAGTTAAGGGCTGGTTATACTCCGGCAGCAGTGTGTTGCAGTGAGCTTGTCACAGATATGACGCAGAGATTTTTGATTTATGCCCAATTTTGAAGCATGGAATGTGCTATGTTATTCCGCACCACAAGGCAAGAGGGACAATCACACATTTTTGAGAGGTGCACCAAAGTGTCTGCGGAAAGGGCGGAGGCATTTCTACATTAACCGCAACACACAGGCAGATGACCTGGTTTCTGAGTATAAACCAGCCTTTATCCTTGTTCTTAAACTGACCACTGGATATAAAAATAACAATATCTGAATTATAATGGCTTTAACAACTGTTTATGATTTTTATTCGTACTTGGATGTCATAAGGCACGTTTCAGAAAACACTGGCTTCTATAGTAGCTTTCAACAAAGTGAAAAAAATATATAATTTTTAAAAAGCTGTAGCATCCAATCTCGATTGAACAGATTCCAATGAAGCATGTTCTTCGCCAGCCCTTAAACACTTGCTACTACGTAACTCAACAAGAAATTTGCTTAGATTTGGTAAAGACCATGCTGTTTCATGCAGATATGGGATTCTGACTCATATAACTGAAGTTGGAAGATTTAGGATTATTGCAATGCTCTTAATATAGATTGTTTACTTTCTTCCTAAGTCTTTAGATTCCTTCCATCCATCCCTGACTGTACAGGACACCAGTCCATCACAGCGCAATTTAAGGCCTGTAAACACATACTTATACCTAAGGGAAATAGGAGCGACCAAATAACCTTACAGACTTGTTTTTGGACTGTTGGATGAAGTCGCGTTGCCCACAGAGAATCCATGCATGCTCGCGGAGAACATATACATATAGTTTCTGTATACTCTATACAGAAAGACTGGGGTGATGAAAAACCAGGACCTTCTTCCTGCAAGGCATTAGTACTGCCAACTGTCACATACCAATACTTCAGGGGTTATGTTTGAATCATTAAATCCAAGTAATAATAAAATACAAATAAATATGCTGAGGAAGCACGTGCATAATTTGGATTTGTTGCAAAAAAGTCTGATATCCATGAATGACTGAGTTACTATGTCTTGAAACCTCACAAACCTAAAACAATTCACTTTAACATTAAGCAAATGGATGGAATTGATAGACTGTGATTATCATTATTTCTGCCTTACTTCTTACCTGTGTATCACTGTGGCTGCACAGACTAATGGGGTATGTTTAAGTATGGTAGTGACAGTCTTATGATAAAAAGACAGAGAGGGGTCAGGAAATGTGGGTTAATCACTACTGACTTTCTGGAAATATTCCAGGGTTCCTACAGCATAAGGCAAGTTAAAGTCAATACTTTTTAATGCCACTTACAATGAAAATTTAAGAGCAACTTGACAGTAAACACAAGGAAAAACCTTGTAGCGACAAATTTACCCTAAATATTTACTTTAACATAAACCATTACTTTCTGGCCCAGTAGAAATGTTTCAAATGTTGAAAAACTTTCCATATGCCTTGGTTCCCATCGTGCTTCATCTACATTCCCTGGCAGTGGTTTAGCCATGCAGAAAACACTTGGATGGATAGCTAATTTTTCTTTGAATTTAAAACTTCCCCATGCTGTCCAGATAAAAAGTTACTAGCACATCATCCCAAGGTCCGGCCACAACATCTTTTTTATTGGTTCCGCTATCATGACGGAAGCAATAATAGTTACAGGGAGCGTTTCAGTAAATGTAACAAAAATATTTTTAATTATTTTATTGTTTGACATGGATTACAAAAATTAAATCCTATTTATGATTTGGTAACAATTTTAAGACCTATTAAAGACTGATTTAAGACATTTTAATACCAATTAAGAACTTGATTTTATATTGAAGAATTCAATGCCTTTTAATACTTTTTAAGGATCTGCAGGAACCCTTTATTCAACATAAAACTGCAATTTTATGATTTTTACTAACACCATGCGGCCACAATTGTTAAGAAAAACATGAATTGAGCACATGAATTGTCTTGCAAGGATGCCTTAAGATTACTTTTATTTTGGGTGAATATGTACTGAATAAATATAAGTGATCAGAGTTGGTTTAGATGCAAATCAGGGCTCGATGTTAACCATTGCCCGATCGCCCGGGGCAAGTAGTTTTTATTGTCGGGAGAGTTGAAATTTCA